ATATTGCAGAGGCAGGGGAGGATTTTACTAAGGTGGCATAGTAAGCTGAATACCAAGGAGGAACCGCATGTGTTCTCCAGGTACACACAAATCTATGAATCCCAGCTCCTAAAATGTATTATTTATGCTGTTCATGATTGTATGTTTAAAGAAAATTTAACAAATTCAAATTATTGAAGTGGTTCTGAAGAGTTCTGTTCAAGTAAGAAATTTCCCCTCCTTTTTTAATCTAAGTAGATGTACATATAGAAATTTTCTCTATTAGTATAGTAATGAAAGTACTACAAATGCACCACAAGTAGCACAGAAATAACACTGTGTTTTCTATTCAGAAAATATAGGAAGCTTAAGTTTTGACTTTATATTATATATCTCATCTTCTTGCTCCAGTGCTTCTTATCTTTAATCACCAGAAGTTCATCAAATTGTACAGCATCTTTCACAAATATTGTCTTAAGTCAGCAGACACTAGTAATGTAGTCAGTACATTGCATTGCAAAGTGAAGTGCAAACAAAAATAAAATTGCCTATTATACCTAATGTTCTAATGCTGTTAAACTTGGTTAAGCTTGATATTTAAATAGTGACAGCTAAATTCCTCAAACTTTTAAGATGGATAGAAATTTGGGTCTGGAATTATCTTAATACTATCCAGTTGGTATAACCAGGGATGTTTCCTTTTATTTGTGAACTAAATATAGGCACAGAATTTGTAATTTTGCAGTTTGTATGAGTAATTCATAGACACAAAGATAAACAAATACATGATTGTAGATTCCTGCCCTGGATAAACTTATAGATGCATTTTGTTGAGGTAGGCAATCTAATTAAATAAGCTGGTTTATATATACATTGTCCAAGTTCTGTAATTTCAAAACATCCAGATTCTGAGATAAGTGTGTATCTGTTGCTCTTAAATAAATTTTAGTGCCAAGATAGCATTTATGCAACCATTGAGAAATACTTCTTCTGTGATGATAAAATAAGGTCTCATGAGCAGACCCATAGTTGTCACTATGTATAATCTAATTGAGGAGTCATTGTTGTGATTTTTTTCCTTGTAGCTTATGTGTTTCCAAATTACCTAATATTCTGATGCTTAAGTCTAGTAGCTTATAGAGAACGAACTGGTTATTTTCTAACAGAAAAATCACCTTATTTAGCAGATTGCCATTACTCTTAGATCTGGGTTGCATTTTTGCTAATGTACTGATTAGAGGAGCTGGCTGAATTAGCATAGGGACTGGCTTCTGATTGGCATCCCTTCCTTTTTATTGGTGAGTTATTATTATTTTTTTGTGTTTAACATCAGAAAGCCCTTACTTATGTCCAGGGTGAGGTTCTGTGTACTGTATACACACCAACAGGTGTTCTGGAGTCATGGGTTAAGTCTTAGGACTCAGAGGCCTTGTGGACACAAGTGTAATGTAAGCACTGTTTATATTAATGATTGCAGACAGCTAAACAGTAAGAAATGTAGGTGCTTGAGGCTGTGGGTACACAGCCAAGTTAGACAAGTGGTCTCATCACTGATGCATCATGGACCAGCTGTCCCACTTGTTTGTTTTGACAATGAGCCAAAGATTCTCATTCACATGTTTGTGCTTACATACATGAATGCACACAGCTGAGGCTGTGTATGTGATAATTAAGATGAACGTCTCTCACAAGTATTTTTAATTTTTTTTTAAACCACAAATATTATGTATACACATTTTCCTTATTTGCTCTGCATGTATCACTTACCATTACCAGTTATGTTATTTGTGGTATCATAATATGAGTTTCTGTTGTTTAAGTTGGTGATAACCAAGTTCCTGAAAGCTGTATACTACCTATAGGGTTTTTTTTTAAAGGATGACAATAAATAAAAGTCTCTTTGTCTCAGGAAAAAAAAAGTGGCATATACAGATTTCCTTATTTATCCTAACTATATCTCTGCCCTCTCCACATTCTCTGAAAGATGAATCATTTACCTCCGCTCTTTGCTCCACTGCTAAAGGGTTCCCTACCTTGAATTTGCATGACTTACAAGCTACGAATAAGATGAGGATGGCAAATGGACAGTGAGACAGGAGAACACAAGCAAAATGGTACATTATTGGTCAGCATAGCAGCATCTTAATAGATGTAATTTTTTTCTGTACTATAGAAAAGGATAGGTTTGAAAGAGGTAAATAAGTAGTTTTGTGGATAGATACAGGGAATTCATCCCATGGATGGGGTCAACCTGATAAAACCCAAAAAGACACATCTGTCAAAATCAAAAGGTGTGTGGTAGAGTTTGGAGTGTTTGAATACTAACTCCAGTCTTTTAGTACTGAATGAAAGATGTTCTTTGGAGCGGGATTAGGCTGTAATGTGCTTTGAAAGTAAGGCAGCTTGTATTTCAGGAATCAGTGGAGAGGGAGTGGTAAGATTTCCCAAGGTAATAAATATGTAACAAAATGGGAGAATCCTGTCAATCAGATACGGATTCTTGGACCATGTCTTGGAGGGCATGAGCAGAACAAGTTTGGATTTGTCAAGGTTGGAGAGGGGGACGTTGCAGCCATCAAGATGTGAGATGAGTACTTTGTTGAGACTTAGCTACCCAGCTCTCTTAGAGAGCTTTATTCTTTGTGAAGTGTGAGGAAACCACATCTTTATCTGAACAGTCTGAATGTGAGGACAAAGAAGCTGTAATGAAAGATGTTTGCATGACTGACCTGTGTGATGACGAAGGAAATGGTAATGTCTGCAATAGCTAAGAAAGAACTAGCAAGAAAGAACAACAGGGTTTTTTAGCCATGTTAAATTTGAATTGATGCCTAATTGTCCACAAATCAATGCTAGGGACACAGGTTGAGATTTTGGGAAACTGATCACAGAATGTAGATCATAGTATTTCACCTGTTTGGATCAAGTCCCACAAAGTATAACTGAGATTTGTTGCAGCTTTTCTCCTAAGGACATCTTTGAAGCTTATAGACAAGGTAATTTAAAAAGCAAAACAAAATAAAACGAACTTGAAAAAAAACACCAACAAAAAACCAAGGACTTTCTCCTGATGCTGTCATTTCAGAAAAGGTCATCAATCTGCACTATGAATGAATTCTAAACTTTATATATTTATCTTTCTGTAAAGGTTCTTTTCTTACTGGAGTTAATATGGAAGGAATTCGGTTGTGCAGGCTCTGCTGTACAAAGTGGTAGAGAGGAAGGAAAGATTGTATGTTGTGAGTAACATAGTTGAAAGCACAGATCAAAATTTGAAACCGTGTTAGCAAGAAATAACATGTATAAACTGCTTTGAGTCAACACACCAAGTCTTGGTGAGTGATCATTCATTCAGACCAAAAGCAAGGTCAAAAAATAATTCATGCATGAGAAAAAGAAGGAAATTATTGCCTAAAGAAGCAAATGTAGTTCAGTAGTTGATTTTCTCATGGCCAGGTGTCCTTCCACCGCAAAGACTCATTTGCTTTCTCTGTATTGTCTGCTAAACTATTAATACAGATCTGTTGCATTGCTATTGAGACAAAGACATACTCTGAACAAGTGGCAGAATGTTATTGTCAGATGCTACATGTCAACACTTGTGGTAGAAGGAAGTACTTTTCAGATAGACCATGTTGCAAATGAAATGGTTTGGTTGATTTCTCTAAAGCAAATTGCAGAAGGATTCTGAAAGGAGCAGACAGCTATTGCTGCATTGTTCCCTAGACTAGTTTGAAGGATATTCCCCTTCTGAAAAGCATCCCAGGAGGCTCCTTCGCAGGGAAGTGTTAATAATTTCAAAAGGAAGGAACTCTGTTTAGTTAAAGCTAAGCGTGTTGGCAGTGGCCTGTGTGTATAGGGCGCTTTTTCCCTCATTTTCTTCAACGCTTGGCTTAAAGCACCATGTGTAATGGTCCTAGCTAATGAGGTGTATTTTGCAGTTTAGGCTATGAATGTGTATAGTGAGTTACCAGAGCAAAACTGATGAACAGCCGCTTGCTAAGCCAAGTGCAGTTGCTTGTCATCATTTATGTGCATATGCTAAAGTGATTCTCCTCTTCCTATCCCCTCCCAAGACGTCTTTATCAATATATCTCATTACTCCTTTATGAAGCTTCCACTGTAATGTTCTGAGCCTTGGGCTTTGATAAATTGTGACTGTCACATTCAATTACGACATATACTATGTGTCCTGTTAACGGTGGCTTTCTTCCTCCACAGGCGATATCATATGTCTGCTACCTAACATCATGTAACTTGTTTTACTTGAAGCTGATTAGGTCATGAGAAGCAGAAGATTACTTCCTAGTGAGCAGCACTGCATAAATCCTGTTTTCTATGATAAATATTTCATATATAAACATTTCATACAGGCTCAGGACTTGTAAAAATCGATTTCCATTGGTAACTCATATCACTTCACTACTGCAGGCTGTGAATAAAGGAAAACCCTGACTTTTTTGTACAGTGCTTAGCATGAAAGCCCTGAATTCAAGTTGGAACACTGATGCACAATCACACAAAGATTAAATAAGATCCATAATGTGATGCAAAAAGTTCAGATTTCTCAGAACTCTCATGGGTAAATCTCTCATGAATTTCTGTGAGCAAGTAGTGCTGAAGAATGCTAGTCCCATTACCAATTTGATAAGGATTTATTTTCCAAGTAAGGGTCTGTTACAGCCATTTGTAAATCCCAGCCTTCCTTTTAGACCACATTAATTGTTGTCTTTTTCCTTGCATGTCTTAGCTCCATCCAGTCATATGGATGCTTTTTCTAAAAATCCTTACTTTTTGGCACTTCCAGTGGGCAGTCTTTCAGTTCCCTGTCTTTAGCCTGCAGCTGTAAAACACCATATGCTTGACTAATTCCTAAAAACTATGGAATTAGAGAAATAATCCATTTGGTACTGAAACAGATGACTTGAGACTGTTTCTTTTGTTACTATCAAAGGGAATGTGCTGCAGCCACAAAAAGAGACAGCTTCACAGAAATAATGATCTTAAAGAGTGACTGTGATAAATCAGGCATCAGTTTATTGTGTTAACCCGTTTTTCTCCACTAGAGGCTGTGCAGACTGTGCTGAATAATAGAATGTCAGTTTATGTCTATTAACACTTTGTTAGAAACTTTGTAAGAACGTGGCTTTAGTATTGGCTGATTTAGGATCAGAGTAAAGGAACTATTGAAATTGATGTAATTTACAGTAAAATAAATTATTTCTTCATTTATAGATATGGCTTTTAAATTCTGACACATTGCTGGTGGAATCTTTAGGAAGTTCCTCCTCCCACAGTGTGTTTACACTGTTTGGAGATATTTTCATGCCTAGCTCTGGACCAGTGGGGACCTGGAATGCTGTCAAAGTCCTTTACCAGCCGTGCATTAAAAGCAGGAATAAGGAGTAAGTACAGCCTTTTCTGACCTCAGGTTCTGATCTTTGATTTGTTTTGCATTTCAGGGCAGCAATATTTCTTTGAGGTTCTTTGGACAGTCCATTAATCTCAGAGATGTATCTCTGAAATTGCATACAATTTTAAAGCTTTTTGTTTAAGCAAAATGCCAGAGGAATTGTATTTGGTTTCTGTTACACCCGGAGAGAATCTGGTTGTTAAATTCTTGCACCATAATATTAAAATGTAGACCAAAGAATCATGTCGTTCCTAGGGGCACATGTAGATAACTGAGGTATATGATACAGATAGCGGTTGTCTCCATTACACAGGAGAGTAATATGCTTTTCATTTATGCATTTTTTTCCCTGTGTTAACTCACTGCACTTTTAGAGCTTGGTCATTTTTCTGGCTCTGTTGGCAGAAGCTGGAAGGATGGTGGTGCCGTGAAGTCCACGGAGGGTCAGTTAGTTCTGTCCATATGGTCTAACCTGCTGCTCTGCAGCTGTGGCTCCAGGTGATGTAATTCAGGGAGGAGGAAAAATTGAGGGGAGATAAGAAGCATGGGCTGACTCCTGAATGATGCATATGTTTAGCCAGATCTCCTTCTTTGCCTTCAATTTCTGTGTTTTGTGTGAAAATCTGATCTCATCTGTCAAGTTATTTATGGGAGTAACCCTCTCTGCACTCCCACAGTAAAGAATTTGGACCTCTTTGGTACAGCTGAAACCAAGAGGGTAGAGGTGGGTAGTTACTAGTTTAGTAAGTTATACCTGCCTGTATACAGAGCTGTTCACAGGACTGGAATTTGTCTGGTTAAGCCAAGTTATCTTCAGTACTACAGATGTTGTCTAGTGCATCACAATAAATTAGTGTAACGATCATCTCTGTATACACGGACAATGCATCTAACAGCGTCCCTGTTAAAAGATACTTGCGCCTGTAGCCTAGCAGAATATGAATAATGCTATATCAATATAGCATACTCTCAGCATATAGCATATCCTCAAAAGGAAAGTCTTTTCTAAATACGATTCGGAAGTTCATTGAGTTGTCTAATTAGCCTCTCTGTGTTTAACTTTAACTTGCTTTCAGCCCAGTGGTGGCATTATTTCAAAAAGAAATGGGGCCCTGAGAGAAGGGAAAAGAGAAGAGGCAAGGAAAGTGGTTGAGTACCATGCCATATAAATGTTTTTCTTGGATGTGTCCAAGTCTACGGGAGCCCTCATAAAGGAAACATTTGATTTCAGCAAGCTTTGAAGTCTACGTTATGAAAAACATACACTGCCTAACATGTTAAAGCCTTTATCTGTTGAAGAGCAAAGATAAGAGAATATTGATTAAGCAGGGGCTCCAGTGTTTGCATGTGATGGAGTATGATTTTAGCATAATTTTCTGCTTTTTGTTTCTGCAGTGATAGAAGAGAAAGCATTGGTTTTGTATAGGTCACACTTAAATAATGGTTTGGTTTTGTTGTTTTTCCTTTACGCTCTTGGAAACTAGCTGACAGATTTAAAGAGGTACAGATGTATTTAAAATTTAGAAGATATTCCCTCCAGACTCAGTCAGTACACAACTAATTTATAGCCCAAGACCTCACAAAAGTGCAACAAAAATGTTGTCTCACACAGACAAGCAAGCATGTACATATGAATTTAAATATTTTCATAGGAGAATTATACATCTTACAAGAATATGTGATTCGTCATAGTGTTTATCCTGAATGTTGCCAAGTGTATGTTTTTTATTTTTCAAACAGATCCAATATTGAAATAGACTCTGATGTAGGGAGACAATGCAAAATTCTAATGTTTAGATAAAAGGTCTTACTACATTATTAATGTTATTCATGTAAGAGAAAAAATTACCTTTATTAATGTACTAGCTTCAGAAGTTGGCACTGGAAAAGCTCTGTGATCTAAATGTTATTATTGATCCAAAATAAATCTTAAAGTATTACCATTTAAACTGCTTATTCTTAGAATGGGAGATATTGCAAGAACCACTACCTGCTCTAAACTGAAAAACACTTCACTTACTACTCTTAAGTCTTACAGAAGTGGAACTTACAGTTTTGCTTTTCAAGTTTCAATTCTTTCTCTCTGAGAAGATTTAATTACCTTAACACACGTTCAGTTACTTTGACATGTTATTCAGATAAAAGTTATATCTACTTAGTCACTTACCTAGCATTCACAAATGCTTTTCTTGAATGGAGTTCTCAGCAGCAGAATTTTACTGTGAGATTAAATTCGGTTCTTTCCATTTCCCCAGACAGACTTGTTACAAATCACTTGTTTCTGAAGAGTACTTTGTATTTATCTCTGGGATTTTGCAGTGAGCAGAAGGCACAACTGAGATTTTAATTCTCCTCTGACAGTAATTGACATATTCCCTGCCCAGTCCCTGGACAAATGCGAAAATGGAAGAGAAAGAACAGCGTGTTCTTTTTAAGGGTCAGAAACCAAAGTAACTATTGGTTTAGTATTGTTTTCCCATTTTTATATTTCTAGTAAAGAACAGTACAAGGGACATTAGCACTTCAACCTGTTTCCATTAACTCATTTTTCAGTTGGCTTGAAGTACTGCCTGGATCTGTGCACTAAGACTGAAGTTTTTCTGTATTGAACAGGAATGTAAACACAGCAGTACAACTTATTTAATGCAATGTGTTTGCATTTATATCTCAAATATTATTTCACGAATTCTGAACAAAGTGTCTGATTTCTTGAATAGTGCAAGTTCCAAATGTTTTAGATGCCCACATTCCAATAATAATTATAATACTTACCTTGGTTGTTTCTGCACACACACCTGCCTTTGAAATAATGCAAATGTTTCAGAGCCCACGGTCTGCTCCCGGTGAGTGGGGGAATAAGCAAGGATACCGCCTGTGTAGGAGGCAGTCAGCAGGAGGTCTGCTTGTGACCTAGACCCCAACAGTTGCAAGGGATAAGCGTGCACTCTGATATCCTGTTGCATGTCAGAGGGCCTCTTCAGTTGTTGCGAGTCACTGGGTACGCTTGGGTCCTCTCCTGTTCCTGCAGTGCCAGAATCTGAGCTGTGCGACGGGAGAGGAAGCACCTTTCTTACCTGCGGACGCTGCAGACTCTGTGCTGGGTAGCTGGGCCATAGGTTAAGGCAGATTAAGGTAAACTAGAAATGAAAGCGTTTATTTGTAATATCTAAATATAATAACATAATCACACATTTCTAAAACATGGGCGAAGAAATGAAAGAAAATCTGTACTTAGTCTACTTACACAAGCATAAATCTACTTACTCTGAGATAAATACATGGTTCCATGGTAGCAGTCAAAGTCTTGGGCTTTGTGAAATTCTCCACTGGCAAGCTGCTTCTGCTAGAGAGATCCTAACTAGGATTGTCTAATAATTCACATTCAGGCATGCCATTTTTGAAGTAACCCTTAGGTTCAGATTCCTTGAGATGCTCTTGAATATTTCTCTTGAGGGGAACGTAGTAGCTTTTATACACGGTCTTTCTTTTCAAGACTTCTGTAAGATGTCAGGAAAAATTTACGGTCTAGGTCCAAAAATCATTTTATTCCTTCTTTATTCAGAGCACAGTTTTGCAATTCTTCATAATTAACATAATGCTTATTTCTCTTCCTCAGATATGGAAGTGTTTTTTTCCCCTTAAACTAGGAATTATGTCCTGTGAACAACACGGTGCTTCAGTGAGCAACAGAACTCTCTTTCTTGCCTCCAGTAAATCACTGGCATATCTGTCATTGTACCGTACACTCAGTATTACTCGAAATGTTAACAATGCAAAGGAAGCAAACATTGGAGTAGGATAAATGTTCATGGTTCATTACTGGCTGCTGAGTGATACCAGCCGCAATGATAATTAACCCGTTTGGAGCAATAGCTGTTTGGGGGTGGCTGATCCTGAAGCCTGCTGTAACAAAACTGTGTTCTGAGTTAGGCTGAACGTTGCTGAGAAGGTGATTACCCCTTGTGTGGCATCTGCCTTTTTCTCAACAACATGCTGATTCATGTTCAATTTGTTGATATGTGTTGACCATCAGATCCTTTCCAGTAGATTGCAGTCTAATAAGCAGCCTTCCTCTCTGTTTTTATGCAGTTGTCCTTTGTCAAATTACATCTTAATTTTGTTCAGAACTTTTTTCCCTGTTGGTCATGGCCATTTTGATTTCCAACATATGGCGTACTGATGGCCCTTCCCAGCTTCATGTCATCTGTGAATGAAAAAAGCATCTCTCTTGTTCCAGTCTCCGGGAGAGCGACTAAGATATGGAATAGGACCAAACTAAGAACATGTCATGTAGAGCCTCTCTCCATATACCTTTATTTTGGCAATGAATTATTAACATTTGTGCTCTGGATATTCTCTGTATGTTAGACTGCATTGCTTAAGAACGTTTAGTAGCTTTTAAGGCATTGTGAAGTTAAGACATGGTTAGGTATATCCAGACATGCTATTCATAGCGTAGCTCTTGGCATTTCTCCTTGCAGAGCCCTATTCCTCTGATCTTCCCGCAGGTAGCCTTTAAGCGTTGTATTGATTTGTGTCCTACTCCTTCAGCTGTTAAACAGGTCTAGAAACACTTAGGTGTGTCTTATGTGTGATAGCATGAGTTCTGGGTAGGTCTGTCTACAGTCAGGCTTCTAGCCCTTGCGGGAGCTTTATGAGTAATGCTTCTACAACAAACTAGTTGAAATTATATGCCGTCGTTTCTTCTTGTCACCTCTGAAAAAAATATGTTATGAATGTAGTTGAGTCCCATTAGAGAAGGATGCCTGTATTTTCTGCTCCGTTCTTACTTAGATACTTATGGATGACGTGTATGTGATTGTGTTGGTTCCCTCCACTTTTCTCTCAGCAAGGCTCCTGTTCTCCACCTACAAATCTGCTGTGCAGACAGAAGAGGTCTTCCTTTCAAGTAACAGGTTCTTGGCAAATAACACCTTATGCAAACAGCCTTGGCTGCTGGGAGTGATAATGGTAAATACTGCTGAAGTGAGAGTGT